AGGAAAAGAGAGAGAGGGAAAGTGAGAACAAACCACAAGGCCTGGGACTTGAACTTCTGTTGGCCATATGGGAGCCCAGTGTCTCAACCACCATGTCACCTGCTGGCCCCGCAAAATGAGTTTTAAGAATAACTAATGGGATAAGAAAACATTTCATTCTACAAAACTGAAAATTTGGAAAGAAAAATGCCACTACAGAAGGTAGCAGAATTCTAACATGGTGAGTAGATACCAACCAGGCCAAAGTGCTGGGTAGTAACTGAACTCCAAGCAAAATACTTTTTAGAAAACAAAAACCTGGGACTAGCAGTTGGCATAATGGCTATGTTGCTGGACTCCCATGTAGTTGTGACTGAGGTTCGAGTCCCAGACCCAGTGGCTTAAACCTCACGCCAGGCACATATGATGTGTGCCCAAGATCCTGAGAATAGGAGAGAAGGGATTGTGGAGTGGCCATCCCCCCTGAGGGGGTGATTTCTCGCTTTCTGTCTCTCTCTTTCTGGCAAGTGCATGCACCCTATAGCAAAAACCTCTCAAAAACAAAACAACAAAAATATCTAAAACCTTCTGAAAGCACTGGAAAACAACCAAGCACAGACAGATACAGAAGGAGAGTCTACACTCAAAAGAAGAAAATGAAAGTTTCTATATTTGTCTTATATACTATCTTTTAGTAGGAAGGCAGGTCTCAGTTGGGCTTATGCTGGGCAGCTAAAACTCTAAGAGAAAACATGATGTTGTAATGGCTTGAAGAACCAAAGAACAGTCTGGGATGACCACAGGCATGAAGTAGGTAATCCCGAAAAAGAAAAAGCCAGAAATGGGACCAGCAGATGGTGTGGTTAGGTCGCTGGACTTCCATGTAATCTACTGCAGTTCGAGTCCTGGACCTGAAGAGTTAAAACTCATGCCAGATGTGCATATGTGCATGCCCAAAATTTCAAGAGGAGAATAGAGAAGGGTTGTGGGATGGCCTTAACCCCTCCACACAGGAGAAGGGGGGCATGATTTCCCTCTGTCTTTCTGGTGAGCACACACGCCCTATAGCAAAAATCTCTCTTAAAAAAAAAAAAAGCCAGAAAGAGGGAACCCCACATACTTTATATAAATTCCACCCAACTTTCTGGCTGACTCTGAACCATGGTAGTAGTGCATGCAGCACACTAAGCAGCCCAGCTAAAATTAATTGAACCAGTATTTGATGAGATGCCTACCACAAGAGGAATGGATAGCAACAAAACATTCTTTTGAGAAACCAAACATAATCGAAAGCCTCTATAACACATACAGTAGTTGATGATATCCAGGATACAATCCAAAACTATTCCAACACATGGAATAAATTTTTAAAAAACAAAACAACCTATTTTCAAGAAAAACAAAAGACAATTTCAAACTAGCTATAATCATGTTAAACAAATCCTCAATGAGTGAAAAAAATACATGTTACTTGAAAATGCCTGGACAGTTCTGTCACCTACCAAACCTAAAGTAATAGCTTGGGAATGAGGCAGTGATATGTTGTAAAGTGGTGCCAACATTACCAAAAAAAAAAAAAAAAAACCAAACAATTCCTGCAGGAAGAAAAGGGGGAAAGTCTATTGTTAAGTATCTGCGGCTCCATAATTCATCATTTTTAGTCAGTTCTTACCATCACCTACAGAAAATAAAAATGAAGCTCACAGAAAGTAACACATATGGGTGAAGGTCACACTAGTTCTAAATTCTGTACTTTTTAAAGAAAAGGCAGGCTGAAAAAGCCTTTGGCTGAAAAGATTGGCAACTATTCAAAAGCTAAAGCAGAAATTATAAAAGAATACACAATTTCCTTGAAAATCTAAACAGTTTCTTTAAGGAAAAGAACTTGCTTAGTTAGACCTTACTCATACTTTTTCCGATCTTCGCTAAATTCACCCTGCTATTTCACTATTCATGAAAGGTTAGAAGACCCTAGTTATGTAAGTTATAGGCATCTTCACAATGGAATACTATGCAGAAATCAGATGACAGTATAGAAATATAGTGTAAGGAAAACTGATCAAAAATGTACTATGGGAACCAGTAGATGGCTGGTTACATCACTGGACTCCATATAGTCTACCATAGTTCGAATCCCAGATCCAGGGGCTTAAAATTCATACCGGGGGCAAATGCATGCATGCCCAAAATCCTGAGAGGAGATTGGAGAAGGGAATGAGGCATGGACTTGTCCCATCCTCCCCAGGGGAGTGATTTCTTGCTTTCTGTCTCTCCAGCAAACACACGTGCCCTATAGCAAAAATCTTTCTTAAAAAAAAAAAAAGGATTATTGGGCCAGCAGGTTGGCATGGTGGTAAAGATGCTGGACTCCCACATGACTAGCTGCAGTTAGAATTCTGGACCTGGTGGCTTGCTTTCTCACTATTCCACCCATTTCTGTTTAGTGAGCACACGTGTGCTCTATAGCAAACTTTAAAAAAAAATAAGTGAATAAAATATTTTTAAAAAGTATTATGAAAAAAGGTTAAAAAATAGTATAAATAATGCCTTGCAATTTTTGTTAAAAAAAAAAAACTAGATAGGACTTGTTAAAAAAATTGCAGAAACATAAAACTTAAAATTTTCCTCCACTACTTAAAATTATTCAATTGTTAAAACTGTTTTTCAATTTATGCCGATAACCCCTTCTCCTAAAAAAAAAAAAGACAAAAAAAATCAAAAAGAAATCTATGTGTACTCTTATTTCTATCCTTTCTACTAGTAGACAAGGTCTGAGCCTCATTTCTAAGATTCTGCAAAGAGGCTCGTATCTATTTAGCTTCTGTGTTTCTGGCTCCAAACCCATTCCACCCTCAGTCCCATCCAGTGACCCATCCAAAACAGAAATCTGACTACAACAGTCCACTGCTTTGACTCCTCACAACTCTAAGATAAAGTTAAATTCTTTAGGTCATGCAAGGCGCTCCAAGATCTGGCCCCTGCCCCTCTCATCTCATTTGGGAACACACTTTACCTCCAACAGGAGAGCTGGCAATTCATACACACCAACCTTTTCTTGTCCGTATCAACAGTCTTAATGTTGTCCTTTTGAACTAGAATACTCCCTGATCCCACCCCCAATATGTTAGTATAACCTCAGAAAAAGTCTTGTCCCACCTTCAAACTAAATAGAATGGTGTATTCAGATCTCTAACACTGTTACTTTTTACATTGTATCATATTTACCTTAAAATTCCTCTCACATGACTATCAACTTCACAAGAACAGGGATAGTCTAAGTCTGTTTCTTGTCTGCAATATGAGGAAAAAAGTACCAACCTCAGAAATGAGATGTAGAAGGCATTCAAAGAAAGTAGTAATCAAAGGTATCCACAATGTTACCTGAAGCCCAGCAGTGTAGACCCACAATAGGATCTCAAATGGTTTCTGAGTCTAAACTGCAAATGGAAATATTCCTATCTTGCAACTGAGAAAATTGATAAAAGATTAACAGCCCAAGGTCACACAGTTAAAGGAAGGGAAGCTAACATCTAACTCCAGTCAAAGTTTAAGCTCAGAACTCATTCTATACTAGTATACATTATCTCCCTCTCTTCCACTTAAAAGTGACTCAATCTGCTGCTGGCACATGGGATGAGGGTTAAGGGAGCTGGACTCCCACATGATGAATTGCGGTTGCTTCTCACTTTACATCTCCCCCTGTCCTTCTCTAGTATGAATGAATGAATAAACGAATGAATTCTTTAAAAAACAAACAAACAAACAAAAAGGGACCCAATCTTTCTACTTTACTCTTATGGAAAAAAAAAAAAAAATGGGAACTGGCAGACAGCATAATGGTTATATTGCTGGACTCCCACTATGACCAACTATGGATCGAGTTCTGGACCCCGAGACTTGAAACTCACACCAGAGAAGTGTGCGTCCCTGCCTGCCCAAAATCTCAGAGGAAAAGGGAGAAGGAATTGGGCTTCACCATCTGCCGTGAGGGGTGATTTCTCGCTTTAGGTCTGTCTCTCTAGCGAGTGAGCTCACGTGCCTCATAGCAAAAAAAATCTAAGAAAATACGTAAGTAAAACCAAACTTTCTTTCCTGTAAATGCCACGTTATAACTATCAGTGCTGGGATGTGTGGTTTTGGTTTGTTTAAGACTGGGTCTGACTAGTTAACATCCACCTCCTAGACAGCAGGACATCGCGCTCAAGGCACCACGCCCCGCTTTTAAAGTGGCCTTGGAATGGAATCGAGCCTCTCCAGTGCTCTCAATCAACAGCACAATTAGCCAGCTCCGCGCTACCATTGCTGGGCCTGGAGTCTCCATTTTTAAGCTAACCTGAACAAGTGTTTCAAGCTCTCTACGATTCAATTTCCCTGCTTATGAGAATGCACTTGGATTTCAAAAAACCATCCAAGCTCTAAAATACTACGAGTCTGTAGCTGGGGGCAGTTATCTGTAGTTCGTGGTGTTCTTTCAGAACTACTTATCAAGCATTTCCAATATGCAAAGCGCAACTACAGTAAATAAAACACTGGTCACCCTTCTCAGGACTTAAGGTAACTCAGTAAGCCTTCAAGTCAAAGTTCATTCCAATACGCTGCAACCTTACAGCAAGGTCACTAGGCGTGAAACGCAAGGTGATTCCCCCTTCAGGGTCGGGGGTCTAGCAAACAGATCCGGCGACCCAAGACACGCCTAGGTTCTGCAGTAGAGCGAAACTGCAAAAAACAGACTACCTTGCGGCCCCTCTTTCCCGTTATCCTCGACTAAATCTGGCGTACATGTCCCAGTCTGGCCGGGGAGGCTACGCGCCCGCCGCAGCTACCATGGCCGACCCTCCCTCGGGGCTCCTCACTCTCCGTGGGGCTGCAGCGGCTTTCCGGAGGGTGAAGGCCGCAGTGTCCTTGCCGCCGCCGACAGGCCTGTCCTGAGCCTAGGGCTCTCCTGTGCCCCAAACTAAGGGAGACACAGAGAGCTGGAGAAGGGCGACGGTAGCGCCCAGGCTCCCCCCGAGCCTCCTTACCCACTGGGCGGTGAGGCCAGTCACCCGGGCCCGGAGCGCAGCGGAGAAGAACATGGCGGGCCAAACCGTTCACCTTGCCCCGGCTGCGCTAGGCGAGAATCCCGCGCGAATTCGGGGCGCACAGCGTGCGCGCTCCCGAGCCCAGGGCCGGGCGTTCAGGACTCACGTCAGGGGGCGGTGGCCAACGGGAGCGCGAGAGGGGCGGAGACTTCCGGGAGAAGCGGATCGGGTGGGACCAGCGGGACCCTAAAAGGCGGGTTGTGGAGGCCGACCTTGGGGACACCGCCTTGAAAGGAAGCGTCGGGGCTGGTTTTTGGGCTCCTGGGGAATGAAGGGCTGGCATGAGTTTACGGCGTGCGCGTCCCCTCTGGAGAAGCTTGGGAAGAATAACTACGAACTCTTATATTGCAATTACTTGAACAATTCCTTGACAGCCCTTATAAATTCTATTTCACGATTTATGGCTTTCGAGACAGAAGGCTGCTACCAGTGAGCTAGGAATAGACACTAAACACCTTGGTTCCCATTCCTTTGCTTTGGGTGTGTGTGTGCTGTCATATGTAGGGGCGAAATGATATGATATATGGAAATTGCTTCCAAATAGTGAGGAGTGGGAGGTAAAATGAAGCAAGATTGGCTGGAAGCGGTGACTGTTGAACCTATGTGGTAGTTTCTTGTACTGCTCTTGGTACTTGGGACACGTTAGAAATTTTCCATAATAAGACCTTTTAAAAAACCACTTCCTTCTTGATGTTTGTTTGGTCATCTCTGGAAATTCCAACAAGTATTTACTCAGTAACAGCTGTAATTTGCTCAGCACTGTTTCCTGCTCTGGAGAGTTTACCAGGCACTTAATTAACTACCTCTTGACTCTTCACTGCCTTGTCTCCTTGTGTCTCGCATCCGGTACCCACCTTCTTCCTTTTGTCTATTTTTTTGACTGTAATAAACTTGTGAAACTTTCACAGCAACTCAGTGATTTTAAAAATGTATTCCTCGTTGTTTTAAAAACTCTGAAATCTTCCAATGCAACTCCTATGGATCATATTTTTAAAAGAATTATTGATTTTATCTTATTATCATTTTTTGTTAATTTGACCAGAGGGATACAGAGAGAGAGAAAGTGAAAGTAAGAAAGCAAGCCAGCAAGCCGTGAGGTCCAGACTTGAACTGTGGTTGACCATGGGGGAATCCAGCGCCTTAACCACCACACCACCTATATGTCATATTTTACAAGTACAGAATTCAAGACACACAGAGCTGTTAGCCAGTGAACTAGGAATAAATCCTAAATGCATTGGTTCCCATTCCTTTGCGTTGTCTTTTGTACTAGATTGCCTTTCCTAAGATGGCCCCAGTATTTCCTTTTGAAAGGAAAAAAAATGTTATGACCCTCAATGTTGATTTAAATTACTTTATTATAAAATTACCTAAATATAAATATATCCAGCACTATTATACACATACTGGTTATTAACTTTCATAACTGACAGCAAAACATATCACAAATTAAATATAAACAAATTTACAAATGGATGATACTGACTGGTCTGGCGTGGAATCTGGGATGCACGCTTTCACTAGATTTGTCAGGGCCTTCTTTGACCTCCAGGCCAGATTAGTCTTCAAAATATCTTCCCAAATATGCCTGCCTTCACTTTGGAAGAATTATGAACTTGTCCACTTCCACAAGCCTTACTTTCTCCCCTATCTCAGTGTAAAACAGTTCAAACACTTCACTTTACCATTCTGACTGGATCATTCTTCTTTACATCCTCAAATTTCCTGCTGGAAATACTTGTTTTCTCTCAAACTCTCTCTTCCCTATCCAGCAGGAACCTTATCCTTTTATTCCCTTCCAGTGAGTGTTGATTTTACAATAACTGACTTTTCGTTTTCCTCCTGCAAGGCAGGACTGGGCCTGCACCTCACATTATTCATTAGAGAAGCCGCAGGGCTCGTGGGTCAGCATCGTTCTGTGCAGGCTTGCTGTGAGGCAGAGAACATCTGCCTGGGCTGCTCTCAAAAGTAGGATGTGACTTGGGAGATAATTATAATTTAGAATACCAGACTAAAGTATTCCACAGATGAAGCAATCCACCTTGTTAGATATGGAAAGAAAGAAAGCTGTTTGGACAGATTGTTTTTAAAAATATATATAGAAGGGCCAGCAGGTGGTGTGGTGGTTGAGACTCTGGACTCCCACATGACCAAGCATGATTTGGGGCTTGGAACTGGGCGCTTGCTTTCGCACTTTCCCTCTCTCTCTCTGGTGAGCACATATGCCCTATAACAAAAATTTTTTTAAAAAATTAATGAATTAGCGGAGCCAGGAGGTGGTGTGGTGGTTAAGGGCGCTGGACTCTCAAATGGCAGACTGTAGTTTGAGTCCTGGACCTGGCAGCTTGCTTTCTCACTTTCTCTCATTCTGTCCCTCTCTGGGCAAATCAAAATAAATAAATAAATGAATAAATAAAGTTAACTTTTAAATAAATAAATAAATTAGGGACCATCAGATGGTGTAATGGTTATGTCACTGGACTCCCACATAGTCAACTGTGGTTTGAGTTCCAGACCTGGTGGCTTATAACTTAGGTAGGGCATGTGTGCGTGCATGCCCAAAATCCTGAGAGGAGAATGGGTTGCGGTATGGCCATCCCCCGGGGGGTGATTTCTCGCTTTCTGTCTCTCTCTGTCTCTCTGTGAGCACATGTGTCCTATAGCAAAAATCTCTCAAAATAATATTAATTTTTTTGGAGAGGTTTTTTTTTTTTGCTATAGGGCGCGTGCACTCACCAGAAAGAGAGAGACAGAAAGCAAGAAATCACCGCCCAGGGGTAATGGCCACACCGCAATCCCTTCTCCTCCATTCTCCTCTCAGGATCTTGGGCATGCATGCACATGAGCCCAGCATGAGTTTAAGCCACTGGGTCAGGGACTCGAACCATGATTGACTACATGGGACTCCAGCAACATAGCCATTATGTCAACTACTGGTCCCAATTTATTTTTATTTTTATTTTTATTTTTTTGCTTTGGGGTGCATCTACTCCCTAGAGAGACAGAAAGTGAGGAATAACCACCCCCCCCCAGAGGATGACCATTCCACAGTCCTTTCTCCTCTATTCTCCTCTCAGGATTTTGGGCACGCACGCACACTCATCTGGTGTGTTTCAAGCCGCTGAATCCAGGACTTGAACCATGATCCAACACGTGGAAGTCCAGTGCCTTAACCACTATAACACCTGCTGGCCCCAATAAGTAATTCTGTATGTATGTCACACACACTCACACACACATGCTACCATCAGGCACAGTTGTAAAATGTGATGCCCTGTGAGACCCATATGGGAAGGTTCCAGATGTGAGTCTGGGGAACTCCCTAAGAATGCCGGGCATACACATGTGTATGATTCAGGGTTGGCTGAGGCTGGAAAGCTGCCATGTCAATGGCAGGATTGCCTTGTTGAGGTTGCTGTCTCTCTCTTGCTTATGAAAGAAACAAATATACTTTATAAAAATAGCAAAAATATCCAGAATATGTTAAGTTTAATTAAGAAAAGAAGGACTATAAAACATCATGTATAATATGTGTATGTTTTCTGTATATGCACAGCAAAAAATTCTGTTTTGTTTTTTATTTTAGGTTTTTGCCATAGAGTATGTGTGCTTGCTTGAGAGAAACATAGAGAGAAAGAGAGGAAGTGAGAAATCACTCCCAGCAGGGAGGCCACACCACAGTCCCTTCTCCTCTATTCTCCTCTTGAGACTTTGGGCACACACGCGTAAATGCCCTGCGTGATTTTCATGCCATCAGGCCAGGGTTCAAATAGTGGTGGACCATGTGCATACCCAGCACCTTAGCCATTACGCCACCTGGTGGCCCCACAGCTAAAAATTCTATATGTGCCCATCAAACTGTTAGTTTCTTTGGGTGATGGGATTAAAGACAACTTTCTTTTTTCCTTTATACCTTTTCTGTTGTCTGAATTTATTTAAATTAATGTATATTATTTTTATTTCAAAAAATAAAACTGCTCATTTTGAGAAATAGTCAAAAAATAGAAAAATAAAATGGGAAAATTAAAAATTCTCTTTTATACTCATTTATATTGAGTAAATATATAATGAAAATCTCTTTAGAGTGCACTTCTTTTTACTGCTGTTAGTTTTCATTCGGATTCTAATTTAGAATACCCATGAGTGTGCGATGGGAATACAGAAATGGGTCAGTTCTTAGGCTATTTCAGCAGTATTTATTCTAGGCAGATGCAGTTGCCCTGGGTTGCTCCTTAAAATCTCTGTGAGTACTTGAATTTTACCTTCCTCTTCTTTGTAAAGCTTATTTACCTCTTCCATGAGAGAGGGAGACACCCTCATCATGATCTTCACACTGCAATACTACCCCAGCCTCAGCCAGCAAGGATCATGGCATGTGTGCTCAGTGTGCATAGAATGACCTCAGGACATGAACCTCGGACCTTCCCACATGGTCTCAGCATCACAAAATGTTGCATTACTGCTGCATCACTGTGGCTGGCCAGAATATAGGTCTTCCTTGACCAGTTACAAAAAGATTCATATGAAATTCCCTTATATAGGGGCCAGAAGAGGGCAAAACAGTTAAGGCATTGGACTTCCACATAGCCAACTGAATTCCAGTCCTGGGTTTTTCTCTCTCTCTCTGGTGAAGTAAATAAAATAATAATAATAATAAATAAAAATAAAATAGATAAAATCAGGTTTTTCTTTTTTTTTTTTTGTAAAAGGTAAGTGTTCTTACAGAGTAGCTTGAGGTCACAGTAACAAATAACCAACCTCCTAACCTGATTCTGCTAATAAAAAAAAGATTAGAGAAGCTATTTCCCCCCTTTCCCTGGTGCCCATTTTCTACCAGGTAATTTCATTATCTAGTAGCAGAGGACTTATTGGTGCTGGGGCCTTCATAGTCCCTTACAGAAGCATGATGCTGTTGGCAGGGACCTGCACATCATTGCATTAGTTGTAGTATGTTCATGTCAAGATGACATAGGATAGAATTTTCATTCCAGGAGCTGGAGCATGGCACAGTGATAAAAACACAATGCTCGGGGCCAGCAGAGGGTGAGGTGGTTGAAGGTGCTGAATTCCCAGATAGCTGATAGT